AAAACGTCAGCCTTCCTGCTCCTCTGATGCTGCTTGGCCTGCTGTGTTCATCCAGCTCTACACCTTGTTATCTCAGATTCTCCAGCATCTGCAGTTCCTACTATCTCTGGAAAGACTTTGAGTTAGTTGCATGCTCGTTGATCTTCATTGTGGTTATTGAGCCACGTTAATTCCACATGGACACTCTGTGTTCAGTTTGCCCATCTGCAGCTTTCTTATGTGTTTCCATCCCCCGTTTGTGCAGAATCCCTGGGCTGAATACCGCTTCCTGGTCTATCCACACTGCATTTGATGATGAACAGTTGCACAGATCAAAATCCGTTTGTGAACCCAAATAACTGCTTCCCGATAATTATCCCGCTTCCAGGACAACAGTCCAGACTGACCCTAACCCTATCACAGGAGCACTGGTCCTGACTCTCGGAGCAGACATTATGTTGCGGGTGGCCTGGTGCACAGTGTCATGGGTTGCTTTGAAAGGTCCTTAGAGAATGGAATATTAAATAGCTTCCTTTTGGGAGATTGTTCGAGGCGGTATCCTGGCTGGAAATAAATGAATCAGCTGATGATCACTAAGTCCCTGGCGAAAAACAAGCTGTTACATATGTTTCAGGAGATGTCCAAGGTAATTATAGGGAGAAATTTGCTGCAGAGTAAGCTGTTACTTTATACCACAGTTCACCATCACAACGGTGGATGCCACTACTTTGAAGAATATTCTTCCTAGGTGTCCCGTCAAACATTGACCCCCACCCAACCCCTAAAATCACTAAATAAAAACTGAAAGAGCTGCAGATGCTGTAAATCAGCAACAAAAAACAGAATTTGCTGGAAAATCTCAGCAGATCTGGCAGCATCGGTGGAGAGAGAAGCAGAGTTAACATTTCAAATCCAATAGGACTTGTCCTCAGAACAGTAACTTATTACTGGCTTAAATAAACTAATCCACAGATTGAATCAATATCCGTTGGGTGATTAATTATTAGAAAATTATCATTAGCCTGACAAATATTGTTAAGGATGCAGTTAGCTCAACTACGATATTATGGGCTGGCAGAGCTATCTAGAGGGGCTGAATGGCCTATTCCCACTCCTAATTTGTACATAGGTATGTTCAAGGTGTAAACGGTGCTATAAGCATGTATCCTTTCTTTGTAAATTCTTTACAATTACTTATTTTGGAGAGAGAGAGGGTCCCAAAGTTGATGGACTAGCCTGAAGTACAATCCTTCCCATTTAATAGCCTCTCTGGCCAGTCTCTCTGTCTCTGCTTCTGCCTGTCAGAGTCCTATCGTTAAAAGTCTAAATCCTGTCATAGCAGAAAATGGTAGAAGACTGTGAGGATATGGACGGAACAGTGAACTGGCGTGGAAATCTTGTTGATTGAGCTCTGTGTCTCTCATGGTGCTTTAACAAGGCCAGGCTGAGCTGCTCCCCCCACCCTGACAGCACGCAGAAAGATTGTCGACTGGTTAAAGATACACAGTGGGACCAGCCTTCTGTATGACATGCTGTTAGTGGGTGGAGGGCCCTGTTAACAAGATCAGTTCTGCTCCTTTCTTTCGAAAGCCATTGTACGGTTTTTCCCCGGTTTGTAGTGAGACAGAGGTCAGGGGTGGGAGGAGGGGCAGGGCCTGGGTGGGGGGGGGTATTCGGAAAAGCCTCTATCACGATCGCAGCTGATCGAAAGGAAGGCCTTGGGAGGTAAAGAGGAACCTGCTGTGGTGTTGCGAGCCTTGAAGAAAAGTGCAGAATGAGGAAATGACTGGCCCCTTTTTTGTTCGTAGCGACACAGCTATTTCTGTTGTCTCACTTTTGTGGGTTGTTCCTACCCATCTTCCTGTTCTCACTAAAGAAACAGGAAGCTTGTGCTAAACGCAATCAGCTCCCCACACCACACTGTAATCAGCAGAGCTGGTGCTATAACCTTTTTCAATTTGTTTACATTCTCCAGCCTCTCAGACATCCCTTAAGTCACAGGTGTGGTTCTGGGCACCATTTTCCCAAAGGGACAAACCAATAGTACTGGACCAGTGAAAGACCAGTGTACAAAGGCGTTTGAACCAGTGGACAAAACTGGTCTGACACCAGTAACATTCGTCACAGGGCCATTAATACGGCTCCTACCATCAGTAACGCTGGCCACTGTGTGAGTAATACTGGTTTTGGAGCCAGCATAAGTTATACAACCAGTAACACTGGTCACTGTTCCAGTGAGATTGGTCTTGGAGCCAGCACTTGTATAGGACCAGTAACACTGGTTACTGCGTGAGTAATGCTGGTCTTGGAGCCAGTATGAGTAATGGGACCAGTAACACTGGTCACTGTCCCAGTAATATTGGCATTGGAGCCAGCACTTGTATAGGACCTGTAACACTGGTTACTGTGTGCGTAATACTGGTCTTGGAGCCAGTATGAGTAATGGGACCAGTAACACTGGTCACTGTCACGGTAATATTGGCATTGGAGCCAGCACTTGTATTAGACCAGTAACACTGGTCATTGTTCCTGTAATATTGGCCTTGGAGCCAGCCCAAGTTATGAGACCGTTACCACTGGTCACTGTGCCAGTAATAATGTTCTTGGAGCCAGCATGGGTTATGGGACCAATAATACTGGTCAAGGTACAAGTACAAAGTCCAATGACTTGAACAAAGCAATCATCACTAACTTCCTTTCAAAGTTTTATAGTGGGAAGAAAATTACCAGGGATTTCAATCAGTTGTGAAGGCTGCACAAGTGTTAAAGAGGCCCCAGAACTGAGAAGTTGGGGTGGTATTCTGCTCCTCATTTGCCAGCAGTTTTGGATGTGGTGAAAGGGAAGTTGTTGAGATGTAAGTTGCCTCAGAGAGATGATTCGGCCCTGCAGGAGGCCACTTAGCCCATCCTAGCCATGCCAGTTCTTTGTGCAAGCCGTTCACTTACCCCACTCTCCCAAGCCGTTGCCCGGCAACCTTGTGGATGTCTCACCTCAAGAGAAACATTTGGAAAGATGACACCTACACTATGCGTTGACGGGTTATTTGTGTGGCCACTTTTGGTAGACTTTTTTAATCGCCTGGCACATCCAATACCGGATAGAATTCCGGGTGAAATCAGACGTGTGCTAATCATTTCTCTCTCCGTTGGTTCCCAGACTTACATCTTCACGGATGACGAGGATGAGGAGCTGACAATCAGGACAGGTGAGGCCTACTCTTTCTCATTGTTGCTGCAGGGTATACAAACAAGGGCACATGAGGCACCTCAGTGAGGTAGCAATGAGCTGATGAACGTGGCGAGGGCACAAGTGATGTTCCCATTCAGTGGAATGGTTGATCGAAAGAACGAGGAGGTACCATCTCCACGAGTGAATCATAGAATTCTGGAATGAGGCCATTTGACCCATCAAGTCCACAGAGAGCATCTTACCTCGATCCAGCCCCCTCCCTATCCCCATAACCCCTCATTAACCACATCCTGCACATCCCTGGACACCATGAGGGCATTTAACATGGCCTATCCACCTGATCCACACGTCTCTGGGCTTTCGGAGGAAACCAGAGCAAACCCGCACAGACACGGGGAGAATGTGCAAACTCTATACAGACAGTCACCTAAGGCTGGATTTGAACGTGGGTCCCTAGCGCTGTGAGACAGCGGTGCTAACCACTGAGCCACCGTGCCATCCATCTGAACCTGAGACTTCTCTTAAGTCTACAACCACAACGCAGACTCTTTTCAGCCCAACCAGATACAAATCTCATTTGAACTTCCAACAGGATCTCTGGATAAGATAGGACTCTGTGATCCTGAAGCTTTGGTCTTTATGATAACTCCCTTAATGCTATGATGCCTAAGAAATGTTACAAGATCTGGACAATATCCAGGCTTGGGCTGACAAGTGGCAAGTAACTTTCGTGCACACAAATGCCAGGCTATGAAATCACCAATAAGAGACAATCTGGCCACTGCCCCTTGACGTTCAATGGTGTTATCGCTGAATCCCCCACTGTCAACATCCTGGGGGTTACCATTGACTTGAAACTGAATTGTACCAGCCACATGGGTACTGTGGTTGTGGGAGCGTGTCGGATGCTGGGAATTCTGCAGCGAGTGACTCCCAGGGCCTGTCTACCATTGATAGGGCACAGGTCAGGAGTGTGATGGAATACTCCCCACTTGCCTGGATGGGTGCAGCCCCAACAACACTCAGGAAGCTTGACACCATCCAGGACAAAGCAGCCGCTTGATTGGCACCACATCCACAAGCACCCACTCCCTCCACCACCGACGCTCAGTAGCAGCAGTGTGTGTACTATCTACAAGATGCACTGCAGAAATTCACCAAAGATCCTCAAATAGCACCTTCCAAACGCAGGACCACTTCCATCTAGAAGGACAAGGGCAGCATTTCCATAGGAACACCAGCATCTGCAAGTTCCCCTTCAAGCCAGTCACCATCCTGACTTGGAAATATATCACCGTTCCTTCACTGTCGCTGGGTCAAAATCCTGGAATTCCCTCCCTAAGGGCATTGTGGGTCAACCCACAGCAGGTGGACTGCAGCGGTTCAAGGAGGCAGCTCACCCCCACCTTCTCAAGGGGCAACTAGAGACGGGCAATAAATGCTGGGCCCAGCCAGAGACACCCACATCCTGCACTTGAATTAAAAAAGTGGGTTGAACATTGATATGCAGGGGTCACCTTGAGCATTAAGAGCATTCTGTGAAGAGGAGATGGAGTTGGTAGAATACATTTTTAATGAATTTATTCAGTGATGTTATTACATAACTCTGGAGCAGGTAGGACTTGAACCCAGGCCTCCTAGCTCAAAGGCAGGTGCAATACCACTGCACCGGTGTCAGTTTTAAGGACAGTTTCATAGAGTTAGTTGTATAATACTTGTAAGCAGGTCGAAAACATTAACCAGGGATTGACTTCTCCCCCTGGAAAGAGGAACAAACTGAAATTAGTGTTTATGCTGCACTGAAATCCATCTGATTACATCTATCCCTGTATTCTCTTCTCTCTCATGACCGTCTGTCTTTCGCTTAAATGTATCTATCTTAATCACTCTGACTCCCCTTGTCCTTTTCGCTGTGAAGGTTGTCAGTTTGGAGGGTGATGTTGAGGGAAGGTTGGAGAGTGTCTGGTGCAGATTGCTGTTACTGAATAGCGGTGAGGGGTGTAGATGTTGAAGGTGGTGAAAAGGAAGGAATCTCTTACACTGTGAATGGCAGAACCCTTAGAAGTGTTGATATGCAGAGGGATCTGGGTGTGCAGGTCCACAGATCACGGAAAGTGGCAACGCGGATAGATAGGGTGGTAAAAAAGGACCTACGGCATGCTTCAGAGATAGTAGGAACTGCCGATGCTGGAGAATCTGAGATAACAAGTTGCAGAGCTGGATGAACACAGCAGGCCAAGCAGTATCAGAGGAGCAGGAAAACTGACGTTTCGTGTCTGGACCCTTCTTCAGAAAAAGGGCCCCTTTCTGAAGAAGGGTCCAGACATGAAACGTCAGTTTTCCTGCTCCTCTGATACTGCTTGGCCTGCTGTGTTCATCCAGCTCTGCACCTTGTTATCTCCTATGGCATACTTGCCTTCATTGGGAGGGGCATTGAGTATAAGGATAGACAAGTTATGCTGCAGCTTTATAGAACTTTAGTTAGGCCACACTTGGAATATTATGTACAGTTCTGGTCACCACACTACCAGAAGGATGTAGATGCTTTGGGGAGGGTACAGAAAAGGTTTACCAGGATGTTGCCTGGTATGGGGGGTTTTAGTGATGAAGAAAGGTTGGATAAACTGGGTTTGTTTTCACTGGAACGCAGGAGGTTGAGGGGCGACCTGATAGAAGTTTATAAAATTGTTAATGGCATGGATAGAGTGGAAAGTATGAGGCTTTTTCCTGGGGTAGAGGGGTCAATTACTAAGGGACACAGGTTCAAGGTGTGAGGGGGGATGTTTAAAAGGGATGTGTGAGGTACATTTTTCACACAAAAGGTGGTGAGTGCCTGGAACGCGCTGCCATAGGAGGTGGTGGAAGCAGACACAATAGCAACGTTCAAGAAGCACCTGGACAAATACATGAATAGGAAGGGAATAGAGGGATACAGATCCTGTAAGTGAAGGCAGTTTTAGTATGGAAGGGCAAAATGTGTTGGCGCAGGTTTGGAGGGCTGAAGGGCCCGTTTCTGTGCTGTATTGTTCCTTGTCCTTTGCTTTTTGTTTTATTTTATTTTAAATTTGTTTTATTCATTCAAAGTAAAAAAAGTATATACATAAACATACATCCTTCTTTATCACTGCGCAAGCAAACCCATACAATTTCTTATCTAAAATGCCTGAAGAAGAGAATGAGAACGGTTTGCCTGTAATTGCATTATTTTTTTGTTTGACCACGTTGCAACTAGAACTGAGAGGATTTCATGTTGCTAACATTTTTATGTTGTGGTGGTATTCACAGGAACATAGAATGATTACGGTGCGAAAGGAGGCCATTCAGCCTCATTACTACCCCTACTATCTACTCCAGCTCAATTACTTAGTGCCAATCTCTTGCTTTTACCCCATAAACCTGCACACCATTAGTATCCCAATAAATAACCATCCAATGTCCTCTTGAATGCCTCAATTAATCCTGCCTCCACTAAATTTCCAGGCAGTGCATTCCGCACCCTAACTACAAACTTTGGGGAGAAAAAAGTCTGTTCTCACTCATATCAAACTCGGATGCTACCTGCAAAAGGTTTTCTTTTGCCAATCACAGGGATTGACCCAAGCTGCATTGGTCTTTTGCAGCAGCACCTGTGTGTTTTCTGCCCTTAAATTGCAGGGCATTGGACAACTCCACAGCTATCACAAATGCCATTTCTGTTCATCTCGTGCAAGGTGCCCTTGCATTACTAAGAGTGGACCATGTCGTTTCTACTCATTTATAGAATCATACAGTCATACAGCACAGAAACAGACCCTTTGGTGCAACCAGTCCATGCCGACCTCAATCCCAAATTAAACTAGTCCCACCTGCCTGTGTTTGGCCCATATCCCTTCAAACATTTCTTATTCATGTACATCTCTCAATGTCTTTCAAATGTTGTAACTACCCACATCCACCACGTCCTCTGGAAGCTCATTCCACACATTAACCCCACTCCCTGTGTAACAGAGTTGCCCCTCATGTTTTTTTTAAATCTTTCTCCTCTTACCTTAAAAATATGTCCCCTAGTCTTGAAATCCCTCCACCCTAGGGAAAAGACACTGCCATTCACCCTATCCATGCCCTTCATGATTTTATAAACCTCTATAAGGTAACCCCTCAACCTCCTTTGCTCCAGGGGAAAAAGGTCCCAGCCTCTCCATATAACTCTCACCCTCCAATTCCAGGCAATATCCTGGTAAATCTCTTAAATTTGTTCCCTTTCCATGAGAAAACAATCCTAGCCTTTCTAGTCTGTCCTTATAGCTCAATTTCTCCATCGCAGGCTACATCCTTGTGAACCTCTTCCGCACCCCCTCTAGTGCTACCACACATTGTATGTCGTGTATAGAATATTCTTCACTGTAATGTTTTATGAGGGAGTACGGATGCACACTGACACACACTCACTCACGTATATAGACACACACACGCACTGACACACAGTCATACTATCACATACTGTCTCTCACATACACACACACTCACTCTCTCACACACACCAACATGCATACGCACGCACGCTCACACTCACTCACACATACACGCACGCACGTACTCCCTCTCTCACACATGCACTCACACACACACGCACACACACACACACACACACACACGCTCTCACACAAGTACACACTCTCTCTCTCGCAAACACACACTCTCACGGTCACTCTCTCTCACACACGCTCTCTTGCACACACTTGCTGTTGCACACATGCCCTCTCGCGCCCACTTTCACTCTCTCTCTCTTTCTCCCACACTTTAGCGTGTGCGCTCTTGCTCTCGCTCTCACGAGCGCTGTCGCTCTTGCTCTCGCGCACGCTCTCGCTCTCGCGAGCGGTCTCGCTCACACACACATATACATATATACACACACATATTCATACACAGACACACACACACACACACAGACACAGACACACACATCTGTAATGGTCATTGTTTGCCTGGTTTTCCTCTCCATGTCCTGTGTGATATTTAAATACAAATAATACAGGCTGCAGTAAATTACCCGGAAATGACTGCTCAATGAAAAGAAAGACCCAACAAGCAATCCAACACATTTGTTTAAAAGGAAACTTGTCTTTCTATCATGATTTTCAAGACCCCAGGAAATGCACAGCTAGTGAAGTCAGTTTGGAATGTAGTCACCGTGTGAATGAGGAAAAGCTAGCATCAGGTTCAGTGGGTAATCGGGAAGGCATATGGCATGTTGGCATTTTTTCAAAGGGAATGGAGTGTACAAATGGGGAAGTCTTGCTAATACTATACAATGCTCTCATCAGACTGTAATAGCGTTTTGGTCCCCTCAGCTAACGGAAGGTATACTGGCATTGGAGGCAGTCCAGGGGAAGTTAACCAGGCTGGTCCTGGGTTGGAGGAGCCGTCTTACGAGGAGACGTTAGGCTTGTACTCATTAGAGTTTAGAAGAAAAAGAGGTGACCTTATTGAAACGTATAAGATTCTTGGGGACTTGGCAGGTTAACCACAGAGAAGTTGTCTCCCCTTATGGGAGAGTCTAGGGCCAGAGGGTACAATCTCAACATAAAGTTCGCCCATTTAAGACAGAGCTGAGGGTGGTGAAACTGTGGAATTCTTTCTTGCAGAGGGATATTCGGTCTAGGTTGTTAAAGCATATGCAAGTGAAATAGATGGATCTTTAATCCATAAGTGAATCAAGGGCTATGGGGAAAAAGCAAGAAAGTTGAGTTGAGGATTATTCGATCAGCCATGATCTCATAGAATGGCAGAGCAGGCATACAGGGCTGAATGGCCTACTCCTGTTCCTACATCTTCTGGTTGAATAGCCTCAGGAGAAGTGATGGCCTCATGGTGTTATTGCTGGACCGCTAATCCAGAGACCCAGGTAATGTCCTGGGGATCCGGGTTCGAATCCCACCATGGCAGACGGTGGAATTTGACTTCAATAAAAATCTGGAATTAAGACTCTAACAACGACCATGAAACCATTGCTGATTATCAGGAAAAACCCATCTGATTCACTAATGTCCCTTTCGGGAAGGAAACTGCCATCCTTACCTTACCTGGTCTGGCCTATATGTGACTCCAGACCCACAACCATATGGTTGACTCTTAACTGCCCTCTGGGATTGGTAATAAATGCTGGCCTAGCAATGCTCTTATCCTGCGAATGAATTAAAAGAAAAGGTTTGTTTTGGGAGATAAATAGATAGGGGAAGGTTGAGTTGAGGCAAGAAGGGATGGGCTCGGACAGAGTGGCCTTCTTCCGTCACTCAAATGTTCTTGTGCAGTGAACAGGAAGCCAGCTGGCCTGGTTGTCTCGTTCTCAGGCGTACCAACTGGCTTGATCTTGAGTTCATATGAGTCAGTGCCATTGGCTCTGAGCTATCCAGCGTTCATCATGTGAATGATCTGGTCCCTTTTCACCTCTCTCCAAACAGGTCACCGAGTGATCAATACAAACTGCTCATCGGCACACAGCCGCCAAGCCTTGTCCTGCAAGATGGCCGCCGAGTACGATGTGTTCATCGCATCGCATCTGAAGTAAGTTGTTTGGAGCGGGCAGCTGTGAGGGGTGAGGAAGGACGGTCAGTGAAAACAGCGCCTTTTGACCTTAGTAGGATAATAGGTTGGCACAACATCGTGGGCCGAAGGGCCTGTACTGTGCTGTGCCGTTCTATGTTCTAGCACCTAAGCATTGAGGACACCCCTCACCCCCCACCACTCTCTGTGGAGCTCAGGGTGCTGCACCTCAGGTTGTCCTGCTCAGTGCCTGAACAATTTACCTCAGTACCTCAGTTGTCCGCCCTTTAACCTCTAACCTCTCCCTTCCTATGTGCTGATCCCTCAGGTGGTTTTGCCACGTCGACGACGATAATTATGTCAACGTTCGAGCCCTATTGAACCTGCTGTCAAGTTTCCCTGCGGCGCAGGACGTCTATGTTGGAAAGCCCAGTCTGGACCGACCAATCGAAGCATCTGAAAAGTTGCCAAACAATAAAACGGTAAGCAACTTCAGAAAAGAAATGCTGACTTTTCGGAGATAGTTATTGAGTAGAATGGCACAGCAGAGAAGGAGGCCATTTGGCCAATCATGCCTGTACTGGCTCTCCTGCTTTTCTCACAGTTGAAAACTTTGAAAAGTTTGAAAACTTTGCCTGATTCCATTTTGAAAGTTAGAATTGAATCTACTTCAGCCACCCAATTTTTATTTTTGAAATGTTACTGGGCATCAGGCGTCCGTGGCAACATATGCAGGAAGATGCTTCATCATTGGCCTGTTCATGTGTTTGCAACGCTCTTGAGGAAAAGATGCTTTGTTACTTTGGACTTGCAAGTGCCAACAGAGGGGGCAGTGAAAGGGGAAAATTGCAGTGGAGATACCTGGCCATACCATGCCTTTATTCTTCCAGTACCCATCGGAGTCTGTGGTAATAAGCGTGATTTACAGTGACCTGGTGTAATTAGCAGAACTCCCAGACCGGAGTCTAAGGACTGTCCCTTCACATCTTGTTCCTGGATTTAGGAATTACACTCTTGGCCAATACTGCACTGCAGTGTTCAGGGAATATTGCAACACTACTGCTCAACTTTCATTCTTGGGTGATCATTAAGGATCCAAAAAAATGTTATTTTTTTTAAAAAGAAAAAAAATTACTTCACAGGATGTGGGCGTTTCTGGCTGGGCCAGAATTTACAGCCCGTCCCTAGCTGCCCTCGAGAAGCTAGTGGTGAGCTGCATTCTTGAACCACTGCAGTCCATGTTCTTTCGGTAGATCCACAATGCCCTAAGGGAGGGAATTCCAGGATTCTGACCCAGAGACAGTGAAGGAACGGCAATATATTTCCAAGTCAGGATGTAAGTGGCTTGGTAGGGAACTTGTAGAGAGTGTTATTCCCCTTGTCTGCTGCCCATGCCCTTCTGTATGAAAGCGGTCGTGGGTTTGAAAAGTGCTTCTGGAGGAGCCATGCTGATTAAAGAGAAATTGTTCAAGGACTGCTGGGACAGCATTTATTGCCCATCCCTAGTTGCCCCTGAGGTGGTGGTGAGCTGCCTCCTTGAATTGCTATAGTCCACGTGCTATAGGAAAACTCTCAGTGCTGTTAAGGAGGGAATTCCAGGATTTTGACCCAGCCACAGTGAAGGAATGGGATATATTTCCAAGTCAGGATGGTGAGTGGCTTGGAGGGGAACTTGAAGGTTGTGGTGTTCCCATGTATCTGCTGCCCTTGTCCTTCTAGATGGAAGTGGTCGTGGGTTTGGAAGGCGCTGTCTGAGGACCTTTGGTGCATCTTGTAGACGGTACACACTGCTGCTACTGAGCGTCGGTGGTGGAGGGAGTGGATGCTTGTGGATGTGGTGCCGATCAAGCGGGCTGCTTTGTCCTGGATGGTGTCGAGTTTCTTGAGTGTTGTTGGCGCTGCACCCATCCAGGCAAGTGGGGAGTATTCCATCACACTCCTGACTTGTGCCTTGTAGATGGTGGACAGGCTTTGGGGAGTCAGGAGGTGAGTTACTCGCCACAGGATTCAGTCTCTCACTTTCTCTTGTAACCACTGTGTTTATGTGTTACTAAGTTGAGTCGTAGGAAGTTCTTCAATTGTTTGGGCAACATTTTTTGCCTTTAATCATAAATGCATTGGCTCACAGTTCCCTCACTGGGATTAAGTTCCATGGTCATTGATGCTTTGTCTAAAAACACAAAGAGCTGTTCAACAATCAGTTAGCTCAGCCTCTGACTGCAGGGAAAAAACACTCAGTCTAACCTTGTCTCTGGCCGGTGTTACCAGCGGGTAGATACAAAAGAAAGTTGGCATTTATGTAGCACCTCTTACAGTCTCAGAATGCCCGTAAGCATCCTGCAGTCAGTGGAGCACTTTTGAAGTGTTGTCACTGCTGCAATGTAGGAAACACTTCAGCATGCAGGTGCACAGGATGATCCCACAAACAGCAATCTGATAGCAGCCAGATAGTTTTTTTTTCCCTTCTGTTGCTCTAAATATTGGCCAGGACACCAGCTCTTCCTCAAAGGCAATGGGACATGAGCACAGAGCCAGCTTTTATCGCTAACTGTTCTGTTCTGAAGAAGGGTCACTGGGCCCAAAACGTTAACTCTGTCTCTCTCAACAGATGCTGCCAGATCTGTTGAGTTTTTCCACCAGTTTCTGATCTTCCAATGTTTATAGTTTTGTCTTCTGTTGCCCTTGGTGCCTTGAACTGCTGAAGTGCATGTGTTGTTGGGACACCCACGTGTTCTATCCCCCATTTGAGAAGACTCTCTATTTAAGCAGCACGGTGGCTCAGTGGTTAGCGCCGCTACCTCAGCCCCAGGGACCCGGGTTCGATCCCATCCTCGGGCGACTGTCTGTGTAGAGTTTGCACATTCAGGGTTTGAGTGAAGATTTGTAGCTTGGCGGCTGGTTATGGATGTTGCTGTGGTTGCCAAGCAGTGGGGCTGTACAGTGGCTCAGTGGTTAGCACTGCTGTGTCACAGCGCCAGGGACCTGGGTTCAATTCCACCCTCGGGCAACTGTCTGTGTGGAGTTTTCACATTCTCCCCATGTCTGCGTGGGTTTCTTCCCGCAGTCCAAAGATGTGCAGGTTAGGGTGGATCAGCTGTGTTAAATTGCCCATTGCATCCAGGGATGTGCAGGTTAGGTGGATTAAGCATGGGAAATGCAGGGTTACAGGGATAGGGTAGGTGGGTCTGGATGGGATGCTCCTTTGGAGGGTTGGTGCAGACTTGATGGGCCGAATGGCCTGTTTCCACACTAGAGATTCTATAACAGGGCAACAAGCCAGATGTTTTTTTTAATTAAACTAACAATCGATGGTTTCATCACAGAGAGGGGCAGCCTCCCGGACAAATTGATTTTAAATTTTACAGCGTCTGTAATGGGATTTGAACCATTGGTCCTTGGGATTATGAGCTCAGTAACGTTACCACCAACTCCCCATAAATGGGGCTGCCTCTCTTTTTATTTTTGTGATAACCGCAGAAAAACGGTAAGTCTGTAGGTGAGAAGGGATGATAATTCCACCTTCATGTTTGCAGAAATCTGTCTTCTTCTGGTTTGCCACTGGTGGAGCTGGATTTTGTATTAGTCGGGGACTGGCGCTGAAGATGGCACCTTGGGCAAGGTAAGGGTTTCAACTGCAGGTTATTTTGAGGAGGATGTGTGGGATTTTAGTGGGACTGAGTTCTTCTGACAGGAAAAGTTTTATCACCTGCTGTTTGAGCCCTCCTGTGCTTCCCAAGTGCAGCGCAATGCTCGTTTAATGTCGGATTTTGTCTGATTTTCTGGATCAAGAACCCGAAGAGTCCATGTTCCCTTCCTTCAATTGAGACAATCACCATGAAGATTTGGAGTGCACAGTCTACAATTAAAGGTTAATAGTGTCAGGGAGATGAAGAAAGCAGTTTCTCTCCATGTCACCAATCTTCTAGATTGGTCTGGAGTCTCCAGTGATTAAAAGATTCATCTCTGGGAAGCTTATGGGAGCAACACTTGGAGGAGAAGAGCCATGGGGGCCGTAATAAAAAAGAAAACCTTTGGATAATATTTTTATCATGAGATCTAAAGATATTTTAAATGGATGTGGAGAGACAGTTTTCCTGTAAGGACAGATTTAGCCAAACAATGGCAGCAGGGAGGGGTATGGCCAATAGAGGGAAAGGATCATGTGATGAAACCTTCCGGAATTTTCCCAACCCGTGTAATGGACACGCTGCTGTGAATTTCAAAAAC